AAATCCCCAACTCGTAACAGTTAAGATCATGTTAAGGGTGTTTGGATCATGCGTAGCGAAGTTTACAGCTTGTGATAGTAGCAGCAGGTCCTTGATATCAGTGGTGTCATTTTCGTTATAAATCCCGCATAGTACCAGCTTGGCACATTGGTACCTAACTCTGATTTTACAGATTACTGATTGCCCCGGAGGGGGCTAGTATATTGGGCACCCCCTTACATCCTGTACAAGGTGAAGCGCAGAAGCGTTTACAGTGCCCAACTGGGAGGTATGCGGAGTCCATGCTTGCCTTTATGACTCATGCATTAAGGGCGTGGAAGCCTGAAGGGTCATGGGTTTTGTCAGCAAGTTACATAAAGTGACAGAATGATGAGTGTGTGGGGGGTGGGGGAAATTCCCGGTACATTTCATCTGTTTATAGCAAAGCGTGGCAGGTCCCTAATAATGTCAAGTGCCAGGCCAGTGACTAGGAGGAGGGATATCTGGTCAGGGAGGGAAGAGGTGTTGGTAACGGCTGGGGACCCGTAGGAGGAGGTAATGTCAAGTGCCAGGCCTGTCACTAGGAGGAGGGATATCTGGTCAGGGAGGGAAGAGGTGTTGGTAACGGCTGGGGACCTGTAGGAGGAGGTCATAGGGCAAGTGAGGATGTAGTGAGGGAGGGTGTGAGAGTCGGGTTGGCCACAAAGTTTACAAACAGTGCGGTGAGGCTCAGGGTTGCCAATGTACTCCCATAGGTACCTGTACCCTAGGCGCAGTCTCATGTATATAAGCTGTTGAGATCGAGTCAAGGATTGATATTCTTTGTAGTGGCGGTTGTCGTCACCGGTTACAGCGTCATAGTGGCATAGTGTGACGCTACCCCGTTGTTTCAGGTGTGTCCAATTTTCGTTGAATGCCTCTCGTTGTGTGGCGTGTATGCGAGATTTGAGATGATTCAGGGAGAGGGCGAGAGTGGCTTCAATATCTTCTTCTTGTGTAGCTTCTTTGGCAAGTCGATCAACAGTGTCACAGGCAGTTATTCCTATATGTGACGGGATCCAAAGAAACTTGACACGGATGTCATCAGTTTGTTCTAGCCTGGCAACGGCGGCTAGGGTGTGTTGGGCGGCAGGGGAGGAGGGGGAGGGTAATTTGAGCCTCGCTAGCGCAGAAGTGCTGTCACTGATTATCAGGAGGTTCCGGCATTCAGTGCGAGCATAGGTCGCCCCCTCATGAATGCCCGCGAGGATGGCTATGCTTTCTGTGTCAGTGGAGGAGGCCCAGTCGTGGACCCTGATTTTCTTGCGGGCCTGGCGCTCGGGAATCCATACAACTGCCCCAGCGCAGCCCAGCGTGGTGGCAGACCCATCACAGTAGACGAGGATAGGAGGGAGGGGGGTCGTAAGAGAAGAGGCGACATCACCAATCTTGCCAAGGCAGTTAAGTTTGAGCATATACCGCAGTTGGGTGGATTTACGACCAGGGAAGGTGTGGACGACAACATCAACACACGGGGAGTTCCACGGCGGTAGAGGTGGATGAGTGTACTCGGGAGGGAGAGAGGTGATAACGCAGGATGTCAGCAGCAGTGTGGACGGGCCAGTGTTGAGAGAGGGAGGGAGAGGTAGTGGGGGCAGGCCGGCGCAGGAGGGAGTCAAGATGTGAGTTCAGTGAGCGCAACAGGGGAGTCGGTTTCTCACTGCGAAGGAGTTTAACACCTAGGATGGCATTGAGAGCAGTAATTCGATCGCAGACTGGAAGCAGATCAGTTCACGATGCATGACTTCTATTCTGGTGGTCATAGGGCAGCCGAGGATGAGTCTCATCGCTCTGTTTTGGATTTTCTCTATGCTTTGTTTCTCGCGTTGGGAGGCAACTACAAGAACAGGGGAGGCATAATCTATGACAGCTTTGACGATAGCAATGTACATGAGGCGTAGGACCCTGACAGAGGCTCCTTTGAGGCCGTGGGTAAGGGACTGGAGGGGCCTCGTTCGTTGGCGGCACTGGGAGATGACGTGGGCGGCGACAGCAGAGGTGGTAGCGCTGGTAGTGGCACGCACGGGTAGACCAAGATACCTGTAGGGGCTTACTTGATCGATGTCTTGTCCTTGCAGAGTCAGCGGAGTCTGACGCCAGAAGTATGAGATGAACTTGGTTTTAGTGTTTGAGATGACTAGCCCGAGTGTTTGACAGGTCCGGGCGAACGTGGAGAGTATAGGTTGTTCATGTTGCACTGTAGTAATTTGGAGGAGGATATCATCAACGTAGCTAGATACAAGTTCACCTGTACAAGGCGCTGGTGAGGCCTGTGTTGGAGTACCCATCTATACCACTCGTCACACTCGGGAAGACTAGACTACAACAACTACAGAGCTTCCAAAACAAGTGTTTGAGTTCAGCCAGTGGCCAAGCGCCACCCTACCAGGAGACAGTGGAAACCATCCACCTAAGAAATAAAACAGAGGCCCTCAACTTCAGGTTCCATCGCCTAGGGAAGAAGGTTTGGGACAAGCTCCTGGACGACCCTCACAGCCCAGACCACCTACGCGGGGAAGACATCAACGGAGGGAGACCCCACGCCTGGTGGCCCCGGAGTCTGCCCGCACTACAACAACCCAACCCGCGATCCATCTATGTCCGCCACAGTGATCCACCTTAGATGAAATAAATTCACATTTAACAAGTCACAATCAAGTGAGTCCATAACGTAATACAGTATAAGATGTTAATAAACTTGTAATTGTAAAATCAATCTAGTCATTGTCTACTAAAATAACCATTGTGCAACCTCATTCTAAATCCTAGGTTAGCTTAGTTAGCCAACAAACTCTATAATATGTAAAACAAGGGGTGTCGTCCCCCTCTGTTTAACTCATTAAACTTCTTTTCCAACCTTTCCCCCCACGACTATATGTTGTGATTTCTCCATCCCTCATGTCTGGCTGTGCCTTGAGCCCCCAGCATGCCTTCCATCCTTTCCCCACCTTAACCTAAAAAAAAAAAAAAAAAAAAAAAAATCAGCGTAGCTTATGATGTGACCGTCTAGAGCGTGCTCAGCAAAGATGTCGTTGAGGCGGCAGATGGAGTCCATGAGTACATTAACGAGTGTAGGGCTGAGTACACCTCCCGGAGGCGTGCCAAGATCAAGGTCCCTGCTCTTAAAGTAGTGGCCCTGAAACCGGACAAGGGCCTGTCGACGGGAGAGGTAGTCAGCAATCCACGTGAGGAGTTTGCCCTTCACATCCATGTGAGTGAGACCCTCAATGATCACTTCACTATTGGCTTTATCAAAAGCACCCTTGAAGTCGACGAAGAGTGAGGTTTTGGCTGAGGTGTTCGCCATGTAGTGAGCGATGCAGTGAGCAGTACTCTTTCCGGGGCGGAAACCATAGAGGTCAGGGTGCAGGTGGGCTTCAATTTTCCAGTGGAGGCGGTGGCGTATCAGGCGCTCCATCATCTTTGAGACGCAGATGAGGGAGATTGGACGATATTCATCTTGTCTGCCTGGTTTAGGGACTGGGATGGTAGTGGCAGTCTTCCATAAGTGAGGCAGCTGACCAGTATCATAAGAAAGGTTAAATAGACAGAGGAGGGGCTTACCAGGGGTGGCAATAAGGGCATTTAGCACTTCATATGTGACGCCGTCATCGCCAGGGGCGGTGGACCGGCCGCGCTTAACAGCATTTAGTAGTTCACACTGTGTGAAAGGCACGTCAGTGTCTGCAGATAGGTCTTGGTACTCGGAGATGCGCTGTCGGCGTTGTGGTTGCAGTGCGAGGGTGAGGTCTCGTACAGCGGGTGGGAGTGCATCAATGGAGGCGGCCTCCTGCCACGTCTGGGAGAGCGCCTCGGTTCGGGCAGCTGGTCTGGGGCGGAGCGCGGGTCTGGCGTTGATGCCCCGGGCACTGTTAATGGTGCGCCATATATCACCTATAGATGTAGACTGGTCAATAGAAGAAGCAAAGTCAAACCACTGCTTCTCTCGTGCGAGAGTGATGGCACATTGGAGCTCTTTATTTGTGCGCATCAGGAAGCGTAGAGCATCAGGGGAGCTGGGAGATTTCTTCCACTGGCCGACTGCTAGTCGGTGCCATACTCGGATAGACTTAACATAAGGGTCGCGGTTAACATTCCAATGACTCCTGAGCTGGCGGTTAGGGCAGCGGTGTTTTGGGGCAGGGCGGAGGAGGGTAGTGCATTATTTGGACAGATCAAGGTAGAGTTGGTCTGCGGTGGTGTCAGTGTAATCCTGAAACCATTCAGCAATGGTAGTGATGAAGGCAGGTATGTTGGCAGGGGGTAGGCTGAGCCTAGGGCCCTTGGGTGGAGCGGGTATTCTCACATACTGGAGGGTAGTGTGGATAGGGAAATGGTCACTGTGGGGGGAGTGGAGGATGCGGGTGGAGTGTGGGCGGTGAGGGTCAGAGTAGAGAGCTATGTAGTCAAGTTTCCCTCCCCCGATGTGGGTGGGTGATGGAGGGCAGAGAAGACGTACAGGGTCATCAGTGGTTTGTAGGTAGGAGAGCCAGGAGTTACCCCGGGAGTTTGAGTGGGGCCCCTGGGAGCCGAGACTAGGGTGACGGGCATTGAGGTCCCCCACAAGGAGGGTGGGGGTGGAGGTGATATGGTGTGGTAGGACAGGTACAGTAGGGGTGGAGGGAGGCACATAGACATTGACAATATTGAGGGACACACCTTTTAGTGTGATTGTGATGGCGTGTGCGTCGGTGGTGTCGTCATCAAGGGGGACGTAGAGAGGTTGATAGGGGACATCCTTCTTGACGTAGATCCGCAGTCCACGTGCATGACCTCGTGGTAGTCCATCGATGCGAAGAACAGGGGTGGATGGGCTCTCAACACATGTGTAGCCACTGAGCACATGGGTACCAGCAGCACACCGCGTTTCTTGGAGGCACAACACGTCGATATTTTCAGTGTAGGCGTAGGTTTTGAGGGCACCAAACTTGTTTTGTAAGCCGTTTATGTTCCAGGTGAGTACCTGCAGTCCTGTAGCGTTGCTATCCATTGTAGTGTATTAGACTGATTTCAGGCTGGCCGGTTGGGTACATGTGTACCCCTGACGTGGACGGATGGGCCTTAGGTGCAGGCATGTCGGCGGAGCTTGGGTGGCCGGGAGTGGAGTCGTCAGGTCTGGAAGGGAGCCCTGGTGGAGACAGCACAGGAGCAGGCGTGGCTTGCGGTGGGTAGACGGGTTGAGCCACCACGTGACGTGAGGATAAGGCAGGGCTTGGCGCGGGGGCAGCAGGACGCACAGGCAGTGAGCAGGGGGGGCTACCAGCTTGTGTCAAACCAAAAGAGGGGAGTGACAGGGTGGCAGCCTCGGGCAAGAGTTGGTTGTGTAGGTCGGAGATGGCGGTACAGAGTGTAGAGAAGAGTTGCTCAACATGCCTGACAAATTCTTGGAAGAGGTACATGATTTGTGTCATGTCACTGGGGGGCTTGGTGGGGGCACTGGTGGGAGCACGAGGCTTGACACAGCGTGGGGCAAGGGGGGTTGTGGGGCACTGATGGAGCACGAGGCTGGGACATGTGGGGTAAGGGGGTTGGGGCACTAGTGGGGGAGCACGAGGCTGGACAGCGTGGGGGGGTGGGGGGTTGTGGGGGGCACTGGTGGGAGCACGAGGCGACAGCGTGGAGGTAAGGGGTGGTTGTGGGGGCACTGGTGGGGAGCACGAGGCTGGACAGCATGAGGGTGGCAGGGGTTGCGGGGGAGCACTGTGGTGGGAGCACGGTGCCTGACAGCGTGAAGGTATAAGCAGGGGGGGCACTGGTGGGAGCACTCCAGGCCTGGACAGCGGGGGGCAAGGGGGGTTATGGGGGCACCCCAGGGGAGCATGAGGCTGGACAACGTGAGAGTAGAAGCTAAAATGAGGGGGGGCACTGGTGGGATCACGAGGCTTGACAGAGTCAAGATAGAGACAGGGAAGAGGCTCAGTTGTGGTTGAGTTAGGGAACGGCAGGTGCCGTTGTTGTGGTGTAGCCTGGAGAAGCCAGGCAGAGGCAGGTGTCCCAGTAGACTGGGGGGAGCGTTGTGGTCGACGCGGCCCTCGGGGAGCTGAGGTGGTTTGAGGTGGTAATGAGGTCATTGATAAGAGTGTCTCTGGCGGGTGAGCGAGGCGGATGGTATGCCACACAGTATACGATAGAGGCAGTGTGGCGAGGATGGGCACGTGGCACAACATATTCAGTCAGTCAAAGAGCCAGCGACCCCACCTTAAATCTCGAACTGGCAATTTTTACCTGACAATACGTGGTAAAGTAAGGTTCTATGTAAAGGTGATTGTGATTGGTGGATCTATTTTCAGCTGTATTACTGTCAGGATAAATATTAAGCAATCCATTGGAAGGATTTTTATAATAATAAACTATTCATTGTTATTTAATATCACGAGATGCTTCCAAATGTTCGTATATTGGCTTAAATACTGAAGAAAATTTGATCTGAGAATTTTGTGGCAGTCCTCGTTCCTCGTTGTAGATGAGTTGCCAATTCAATAATAAAATTTGTACATTACTTAAGGAAATATGTGAACATTTTGAAACTTCTCATGATCTTAAATAACAATGAATAGTTTATTATTAAAAAAAATATACCAATGGATTGTTTAATACTTATCCTATATTTATCCTACAATGCCTCCACATCAGCTGAGAATAAAACATCCAGGCGTGAGGGACTCAGTTCATCCTGGGTGTGTGTGTGTGTGAGGCAGGGGGTTGTTGTGACGTTGTACCAAAATTGCTTCATGCATAATGAGAGAAAATGATTCAACGTGAAAATTCCCCGAGGAATGGTTTGAAATCAATCCCGAACAAATGGTGACATGTAAGGTTTCGTTAAAATGGCCGCCCCTAGACTTAGCGACCATTTCAGACACCAGAGAGAGAGGAAATAAACACTAGGCTCCCGTGGACATACTCCGCTGTTCCGGTTAACACTCTTGCCATTATAAACGGGTGATGCCATGTAATGTAACCACGAGTCTGTTGTATAAAGTAATCAAGTAACCGTCGGTGACCACGGCATGGTCATGATTTCCGTTTTCTTGCATCCGATGCCTGGCCTGGGTGAACCTGTTTGACGTTTAATTAATGATAGATCAAGGCAAAAGCACCTGTCTGATCTCCTCATGATGCCGTTATTGAACACCTCTTGTCCACAACTACCGGATATTGACACAAAATGTAGTTGCTAAAAAGTTTAGAAGTCGTTCAATTTAACTGTGCCATCAACTTTAATAAGAACTGACTTGTACCCTGGAAATAACCCTTACAACTTTGTTATTATTTACATAACTAATTAATTTATTTAGTTACATTAAGGTTCCTATGCAAAAAAAGAACAATGCATGAACATGATAACATCTGCCCGTACTACAATGATAACCAAATCGTAAATAAATGTTTCTGTTCCGACTTACGACCTGTTTTTGGCCCGAGCATAAGAACCTCTTTCCTGATAATACTGTTCAGAATCTCGTGCAATGAGACAGAAAGCATCACCCTTAATAGTAGGAATTTGTCTTAATAAGAAACACTTTATTTACACGAGTATACCATCCCAGCCAGAGACAACCCCCACCACCAGGAAAAAGTGGCGAGGAATCTTCTATATTGTCCTTTTACTACAAGACTCTTGTTATAATGTTCACAGCTCATGATTGTGACTCTATGCGGTCTAAACCTTTCTCGTACACCGCTGGCTCCATATTTCCAAAGATCCTGACGATACGTTTTAATGTTGATTCGTGGTAAGAAAACAGAAGGTAGTTACAGTAAAGCTGTAGCACATTTTTCATCATTTTGCCTCCATATTTACTTGGTCTAATAAGAACGAGTCAGATATGTTCTCGAATTTTCTTATGGTATAAAACTGAACAATTGGCCTTAAGATTCTTGAGCCTTAACCTGACTCACAGCGGCTGTTGAGTTATAGAACCTGAGAACTCACCTGAGAGACGAGAGATGATAAACTAACTGGTGATTACTACTGAGTGGTCCGGACACACCACCACAAAGGTTTCTGGGTCACTGGCATTAGAAGACCTAAAAAAAAAAAACAGTTGTGGGTCAGTAACAAAATTTTATTAGACAAATTGTTCGTGGGTTGAGGTGACGTGTATGCAGTAAAGAACAACCGTGAGGCCAATTTGCAGATATGTCACACCTGCTCGTCTTGTAGTTCACATAACAGAATCGGAGAGGCTTTGTCTCCCACATAACCTTGTTTCCATGCCGCCCTTCTCTCCTAGCAACACCTGTCCTGTCACGCCAGTTTTCAAGGCCATACAAATATGAGTGAATATTATATAGAGCTTGTTGTTACCCACACGGCATACGGGCGACCAACAGCGTCAAAGTTGGCTGCTACCTTCACCACCACGAGCGACTAACAGTGCCAGAGCTTGTTGCTACCTTCACCAGCACGGGCGACCAACAGCGCCAGCCTACTTCTATCTGTATTAAGAGGCTTTTGCAGATAATCTCTTTAAGTATCGATCACCACACAGGCTTTTTATTATACAGCAACTTTTTCAACACAATGAGGCGCCAATGGGAATTACTATAAGACGAACTTTCGCTAACCTTTTGCCTCCAGGTTAGGTTAGGTTAGGTTAGGTTTGGCTAGGTTTGAGAGGAGAGGAAACGGGGGAGGGAATTGAATTTTGAATTCTGCCGCGGACAGCAGCTAGATTATTGTGCACCCCATACTCATCCTTTGAGCGGTGGCCACAAAGGGTGTTTCTGAGAGCCCAGTGATTTTGATAATATGGCAATGAATGTTAATTACGGAGTATTTCCAGTACATTGTTTAAGTTGGTACTGAATTTTGATTAGGTACTAGATGAGAAGTGTGGATACAGCCTAGTATGTCAGCTATTTTATCATCAGAGATAAAGTGCTGTGTCATTTCATACACGATGTGCTTGGATCTGCCAGAGGTGCTTATTATCCTAACCTTTGTCTAGCGGTTACAACATCTTGTAATCTAGTGATCTTGTTACTTGCTCCATATACATGTTTTATTTGATACATCTCATCATGGTAAACACTGGATTGGTAAGTGTCTGTTTGCACTTGTCTACTTGCTTCACATTCATGAGAAAGCTCTTTTCTGAATACAGTTTGTAAGGTTTTGAATGACAGTCCAAGATTGTACTCAACATTGTCATTGTTGGACGCGAGTTTAGCTAAGGCATCAACTCTATCATGTTCACTAATGCCTATGTGAGAGGGGATCCCAGCAGCTTGATCCTAATACCCACGTCAACAAGCCGCATATGTTTGTGTCTGACTTCAGAGACAAGCTGGTGACACTCTGAGTTTATGGTATCAAGAGGAAGTAGTGATGATAAGGAATCAGTGATGATGAGACTGTCATTGGCAGTGTCTTCAACAAGTTTCAGGGCTGTGAGTATGGCAAATAGTTCAGTTTCTAGAGTGGATACCTAGTTACTAATTTTAGCTCCTTTCTCTATTACATTACCGTTAGGCTGAGTCACAATGACAGCACTTCTAGCCCTCCCACACACAGTGTTAAGAGAGCCGTAGATGGTCTGTGTGATGTTATTTTCAGTCTGCAGGTTATGTATGTGGTCAAGAGCTCTCAGTTTGGCAGTGTGTTGGAGATAAGGATTATGTGTGGTCAGTCGTTTAAGCGGGTACGTGGGTGTTGTGATATAGAAGGGAATTGTCCGCCAGGGTGGCAGGAAGCGCTGCTGTGTTTCAGCTTTATACAAATGGTCTAGTTCAAACATCTTTATATGCTCAGCTGTAGTTTTGATCCATTTAGACTCACCAGTTTCATGACTCATATATTCTAGCAGGTTCTTAGAAGCAATGTTATCTGGATCACCATGCAAAAGCCTCAGGGCTATCATGAGGTTGACTTCAATTATTCTATCTTTCAGACTGGGTATACCTAGTTCTTTCCTCATATTAAGTACTTCAGTGCTCATGGGACAGCCTAAAATAATTCTAAGGGCTTAATTTTGCATTTTTTCGAGCTTGTCAATGCCTTTCGCGTCAAGAAGGACCAGGGTTGGTGCGTGATAATCTACCAGAGATTTTATATAACCTTACGTACATTGTTTTGACAATTCTGATATTGGCGCCATAATGTGGGTTGTGCCCCGCCACATATTTAAGGGGTTTTAACCCATCAGTACATTGGCCGGTTAGCTGTTGTATGGCAGGTGAGTTACAGGGGATAGGGACACCGAGATATTTAAGAGAAGAGACATAGTCAATACAGTAGTGTTGTTACCTATCTTAAGCTTTGACGGTCCACGTTTGCGGTTACCAGCTTGTTTGTTGAATACTCTAGTTTTCTCAGTGGAGATGATAAGACCAAGGTTCTCACAGGCTGACTGTACATAGTTCAGGGTGGTTTGCATTTCACGATAAGTTTTAGTTTGTTTAAGAATATCATCAGCATAGCTAACAGTATTGCTGGGGCTGTCTGGGATTGTCTTTAATAATGTGTTCATAAGAACATTGAACAATGTGGGACTAAGTACCTTGGGGGGATGCCAAGTTCCATTTCTTTAAGTTCACTTTTGTAACCCTGAAACAGTGCAGCAGCCGACCTCCTATATCCATTTTGACTAGTTCGTACAATATAAGTTACCTATTGGCAATATCAAATGCAGCTTTTAGGTCAAGAAATGTGGTGTATCTGTGCCTTTCATCCCCATGCACAGTTAGGAATGTGGTAATGTGATTATGTACACCTTTACCATGGGTGAAGCCATTTATGTTAGGAGACATGTGTTCTCTGATTCTGTATAAGAGTCTGCCAAGAACCATCCTCTCAAAGGTTTTGCAAAGGCAGCTGGTTAGTGATATGGGACGAAAGGCATCAGGCTGTCCCGGTTTTGGTATTGGTATAACAATACTGTAGGTCCTTGATGTCCTTAGTTGGCCCTCGGCATGACTTATATTGTACAATGCCAATAATGGATTGCCCACCACACTCCTTAGTCGTCTAACGATATTGTCGGTGACTCTGTCCTCCCCAGACGCAGTACACCTACCCCTGGCGAGGGCGGCGTCAAGCTCCAACTCAGTATATGGAACATCACAC